GGCGGGGCGGGCGGCTCGCGCAGCGGGCACATGGAGGGCGTCGCATGACGTCCCACAGCTCGAGCTGGACAGGTGCCTACCGCCTCCACCGCAACCCACGCCAGCGCCAGCGCTGCCGCCCAAGCCGTCCAGCTCCATGTCAACGACGGATATGATGTCATGGCGTGCGCTGGGACACGCTAAACCGCCAAGGGGGCGAGTGAACAGTGTCGGGGAGTGTGACCGGGCCCACCCACTGTCACCCCACACAAGCACGCTGCGAGTAGGTACGCTGATCGTAACCTATAGATGCTTCAATCGTTCAAATTATCATATCAGTGCGAGCCACAAGTTTGCTATCCGTATGACAGGGCAGTCTTGTCTGGGCGTGTGCACGTGCAAACCAGCGTTAAAATCTTTGAGGTTAATGCCTAGCTCCGATTGATTCGGCGTACAAAGACTGTTTCGTGACCCGAATCTGATCTCACTTTTCAACGTCGTTGGTCGCTTCTCCTCAGCGGCCTGGATAACATCTTGCGCACCCAAAGACGGAGTTGATGGTATGAGCATTGTAGAAATTAGCGCACCTTCGGATACGTCGACCAGGTGTGGAGGGACATATGACATGTCGGCGGCTGAAAACATCTGTGCCACAGCTCGTAAGCCGACCATCACTGCTGCGCACAGGTGGCCCCAGACTGGGCAGCTGAGCTTGCGGTCACAGAGCACTTGTTCACATCATGCTTTTTGATTTGAAGGCAAACCCGGTGCAGGTCGATCGATTTGGTCGCTATGCTGACGTCACGATGAAAGCGCAGTGCAAAATTTTCACAGCAGCAAAGTGGCCAGGACGACGTTGACGGTCACGCGCTATCACCACCAAACAATAATAAGACTGGCAGACGCACGCATGAAGACCCAAGCCAGTGAGGAATCACCAGCCGGACGGCAACGCGCGCACCCCGACCGCCCGTCCCGGCGCGCGCGAAAGCACGGGCGCGCTCCTCACAGCCCCGGCGGCTTCAGCGGCTGCGGCGCGGCCTGCGCGATGGCGCCGACGTCGATGGGCAGCTGCACCAGCGACCTGAAGGGCTCCTTCATGTCTGCGCGCGCTGACCAAGCGGTCCACCAGGGCCCACCGCCGACCTATTGGGGGAGGATGACGCGGGGGTTGGGGTTTCATATGGCAGGGGGAGGGCGCAGGACCAGGCAGGGCGGGGAGGGGCGGTTGTGCTGATTATGATGTCCCCATGTGCACGGGCGCGGCGCTGGATGCGCGACGCGCGTCCGGTGCCCTGGGCAGAAAGCGGATGGGGTTTCCTGCGAAACTGAAGCCCCCGCTAGTCAAAAGCTGTCCCCCTGAGGCCTGCAGCGTGCCGCGGAACGGGGAAGCGCGCGAGCGCGCACCTCAAGCGCTGCAGTGGTGCTGGTGGCGTCCACGAGCGGCGACGCGCTGCGGCGGCCCGCGCTGTCGACCTGCCACACGCGCAGCCTGCAGCTGCCGAAGAACGTGTCCTTGCAGTGGGGCGCCAGGCCCGACGTCGCGGTCGGCGCCCTGGGGGCGCACAAGGATGGAGGAGGGGCAGCGTTGGGACGCCGGCTCGGCCAAAGATCTGGGACAGCCACTCCAGCACGGGCAGGCGCGCGTATGTGAGTGTGACCTAAAATGGCTACACAAGCAACCAGACAGACCGACAGGCTCACTTGCCCGCACGATCCTTGCAGCGCAATGCTCCTGCCCACGCACCTGCGTGCACTGGTGCACGTGCGCGTGAGCTTCCCCCCCACGCACCCACACCCCACCCACTTATGCACACATGACCGCACACCTGAGCACCGTCCCCGCCGTTGGCGCGCACGTGGCCTCCACCACCGCCTCGTGCCCCTGCCCCCGCGCTCTCAGCTGCCACCGCCCCCACTCGTCCGCGCTCCAGTCCACCTCCCCAGTCCAGGGCGTCAGCTCCAGAAACCTGCCGCTGGGCAGGTGCACCCCGATCATACCCACGTCCTCCTCCAGGCCGGGGACCCCGAGCAACCCGCGCCGCGCGCCGACGGCAGTTACGCTCAGGCCGGGCATGCTGCGGGCGCGGTTGGCGCGGCGTGCAGGGCCGAGCGGCGTGCACAGGCGCATGTGCGTACGGGGGTGCGCGTGAGTGGGGGGCCATGGGGACGGCGGAGGCGGTGAGCCTTTGGGGCCCTTCAGATGTCGGCAGGCCGATCCACTCCCCAATGCAAGCGGCTGCCATGCAAGCGGCGCTGGAAGGTGTACCCTCGGCCTCGCTGCACCCTGCTCGCATGGGCGCAGACCCTCGCGCAAGCACGAGCTAGAACGAAGGCAGCCAGCATGGACACCGGCCCCTGAAACCAGGTCGGCGCACCCGTCAAAGGTGTTGCACTGCACCCAAATCCATTTGGAGGGGAAGCCACCGCCCCAGTTCTTCTCGGCGTACGCTTGCGCCCCCTTGAGCTCGTAGCGGGTGTCGCCCCACTGCACCCAGCCGTCGGCGGTGCCGTGTGACATCAGCACCTGGGGTGGTACAGGGCGGTGACAAAAAGGCAATCAGGGCTGCTGCTTTGGGGGCGTTTTACTTGGCGGGAGCGCATCGTTTTTTGCCCTGTTGCCTCTGCCTAAACACCTTGCAGGTTTAAAGCCAAGTGCAGTAGGACATTGTGTCAGGGGACTTGCACCTGAATCCCATCACTGCTGCGGCAGTCCCTGCCACACCGTGTCCGCCCTGCCGCCTGCAGCGAGCCCTCTGGTGAGCCGCCCGCAGCTGCAACGACCCGCGCGCTATGAGCCCGCCGAGGCGTCCGCCGTTACGGCGCTCAACAAGAGCCGGGCCAGGTACGATGCCTTTCCTCAATCCTGAACCCCGCACCTGCCAGTGCGGCTCGAACACGCTGAGCACGCTCAGCCAACCGGCCGTCGCCTTGCCGCTCTTCACTGCGCCGCCGGCCGCGTCGCCCCAGCCGGTGAGGGGGTTGATCTTGAACGCCCAAGAGCAGTTCTGGACCGTGGACATGGGGGCTCCGGCGGCACCGGCCTCGGAGGCGATGATGGCGCCCTGCTGCCAGGTGGCGCTGGCTTGAAAGCCGAGCTCGACAGATGCATCAAACTCAGCCTGAAACAAGAGCGCAGAGGCGGGGGCGATGGCGTCTCTGCTGACATTGTATGTCTGGATATGCATGCCAAGGTAGAGGTAAGGAAACACGACATTGGCGCCTGATGAGCCACGCCGTGCTGCTGCGGCTGGCTCGTGGGGGGTCCGGCTCGCAAGCTCCCTGGACAGAAGCATCTGCCTGGCCAGGCCGCCGCACGCCCGCCCGCACCTGGGACGCGACCCTCCGCGGCACCGCCTGCCGCTGCACCGCAGGCGCGGGCTTGAAGCATGCCCCCAGCTCCAGGCCGTTGCGGGCGCCCCAAAAGTGGGAGGTGTCGCGGCTGAACTGGCAGATGTATCCATCGTCGGCGCCCATCACCTGCGTGTTAATCCAAATTGCACAGTACCAACAATTAATTCTTGTTTGCAAGTAAGGCGCACTTGCGCACGAAGTTAGGCCAGACGGATTGAGGCCTGGGCGTCTCTGGCTGCGACCGCCCGCTATGCAACCGAACCGGCATCGGCTGCATTAGTTGCACGAGCCTGCAGGCTCTGGGCGACGCAGGGCGGAGTGTAGTGTGCAGTTTTCTCCTGAAATATGCAGTGCAGGGGCAGGGACGACGGCCGTTCCCAGGGTGCGGCGGTGGTTGGGGTCCCCACCTGGGCGCCTACGCCGCGCACACCGCTGCCGCTGTTGCCGGGGTCCTCCACCGAATAAATCAGCGCAAAGCTCTGGCCGTTGTCAGGCAGGGTGACCTATCCGGGCGGTTCAGGGGTTCGGGAGAGAGAGCCCGCGCGCTTGCTGCTGACCGGCGGTCTGGCGAGAAGGGTGCGCATGCGACGGCTGACTGGGATTGGAAGCGTGGAGGCAGCTGCGGCTCGTTTGCAAGCATGGGTGGCAGCTCTGAGCGCTCTTCATTGAGTGGGCGAATCAGGGACTGCGACGCTGCAGCCGCACCTTCCAATACCAGCCCTCAAAAAAGCGCCTGTTGCTGCCGTCGAAGTGGTACCCGCTGTGCGGCGGCGGCACCCAAGACGCTGCATGTGGATGCGCAGTGCGCGCCCGCACACAGCGCCTGCCCCTGCTGGCAGCTGGGATGCTTCTGGGACGGCTGCATGGGCCTAAAACCGCATAATGTAACTCTGTGTGCTGCGTCAAGCTGCGATGTCCTGATCGCAACATCGAGGCGACGATCTGCTACAGTACTTGGTAATGTGTCAATCTATTTTACCACAATCGTGGGATTGAAAGTGATTGCTGCCAATGATGCCGCACTGACCAAAGCTTATCACTGCTGCCGGCACTCAGAGCTGGCGTCAACTCACCCGCTGCTGGCCTGTGGCCAAGTGGCTGGTCCTTTCGCCGAGAGAGTTCGTGCAACATGTGTGCCTGATGGGTGCAGCCGAACAAGGAAGGCCCATTATACCAGATTCTTGTGTCATGCCATCTGTCAACGTGTGTGGCTGCAGTAGGGCAGGTTTGGGGTGTGAGCTGCAAGCACCCTGTTGCCGCCCTTGTCAAGCCTGTTTTCGTCGCATTGCATGCAGCTCCTCATTACATGAGACCAAAGATGACAGGAACAAAAGGTTAGGCATGCAGTACATGAATCGCAAGCACCTGCACAGGATCTTGCAAATTATAAATAGCAGTGGAGCAGTCAGCAAGCACATTTGCCAGTTGAGTCCTCATGGCGGTCCCAGGTGGTCGGCCACTGGTGATGGGGAGACAAACCATCGAATGAGCCAAAATCATGTGGAATCGCGATCCAATTATTCAATGCGGCCAGAATACCTTTGAAAAGCTGGGCACAGTAAACAGTCAAAGTACGCCACTCAGCAATGCGAGCCAGAGCACATGTGAAACGCTGCAAAACCTGCAACAAAATGAGTAAACAGCCGAACAAAGGCGGTCACCAGAGGCGCCCCATCCAACCCTGGGCCAGACCGCCCCAGCCGCGCTGGGAGCTGGCCACATTCTGCGGCCTGCTGGCTCCGCCGATGCTGATGTAAGTCGAGCCGCCCTTAATGCGGGAGAAGTGGCCCCAGGCAGGGATGGAAGGGATATCCCCAGCGGTGGATGTTGGCAGCTGCCAGCTGGATGGACCTTGGTTGCCGGATGGGTCGTTGTTGGTGCTGACGGTGCCAAGCCGGGAGCAGTCCACCACGCGCCACCTGATGGGCAGGAGATCAGGATCAGAGTGTGGCAGCAAACCAGGTAGGCACGAGCGAGCTTGCTCAGCTGAGCTGGAGGTTGATGCGCGCAGCGGACTGGAAGAGCGGACATGGGGGCCGGCAAGTAATCCGGGAAAATCGTGCGCTCACACGGCTGATGTGCGTGGGCCACACTGGCGCCAGGTTGCATTCCCTCTTCAAACGCGCCTGAAGCATCCCGCACCCGCGGCCCCCTCACCTGGCGCCGATGACACCCTGGCTCTCAGAGGCGAGCTGTCTGAAGACGGCGCGGCCCAGGTCCAGGTGGGCTATGTCGCCGCAGCACCACCGGCGGTTGCTGTACGCATTCGCGTGCACACAGGGGCAGCTGCGAGGGGGAAGGGAGCGAAGTGGGTAGAAGGGCTGCCAGCGAGATGAGGAGCCCAAAAAACTGCATTACGTTGGGGGGTAAGCACTAGCGCAGCTTTGATGCACACAGCATCCTCGCAGGTGCACCCGGCATGGCGGTGCTGGATGTTGGCTGTTTTGGTGCATGCTCACAACCAGCACTGACTGCGACGCTTGCTTTGGCAGCAATATGCTGCACCGCCACACGTGCGCAGCAGCTCCTGCCTGCCCACCCCTCCCAGGGCCCCACCTGTCAACGATCTTGAGCACCACGGTGCGGCTGGGATCGTAGCATGCGTTGCTGCGCTGCAGCTGCCCGCCATAGTTGTCACCAAAGTTCTTGTTGACGCACGCCACCTCAACACACTTGCCGCAGGACCTGCATGGGCTCAGGATGTGTACGTGTGCGTATTTGTTTGTG